TAACCTTTCACTCGACGGGTTACCACTGGTCACGAATCGCGGGGCAACCCGACTCGACTTGTCGAGTCCCCATATGAACTCGGCGAGTTCCCTCCATGGCATCACTCAAATGACCTTCTGAGGTTAGATCTGTTTCTCTAACTTATAGATCTGACCCTCTTACACCCAATAATCACGTAAAGGTTCAATCTTTAAGCTCATGCAACACTCTTATGCCCTTATATGAAGAAATAGCTCCTAAAATGGAAACCTAGATCCATAACCCCAAAGGGACTGCATAAAGCTAGAATATTGGGACTCTCTGGACCTCTTAAGGTCCAGATCTAAAGATTATTCCACATTGGGACCTCATATACTTCATATTCCTTAAAAGAAAAAGGTGTCAAGAAACCCTAGATTCATGCAATCAACACCATATAGAAGGAAAGGTCTGATTTATTACCTCAAAGTGAAGCTCCTTGCTTCAAAGTCTCAGAATGTCAACCTCCTCCGGTCCCTCATGCTAGAATCCTCATTCTCCTTTGCAATGTCACATCAAAAAGGCTCAATATGGCTCTTCTTCACTCTCTAAGCTCTATGGTTCGAAAGGAGTCTCTCAAGGGTGTAGGTGGTCTCCACTACATGCCATAAGGACCTTTAAATAGGTCCCAAACCCGGAAAACTAGGGTTTTCCTTAACAGCGGTGACTCGGCGAGTCAGATACCCGACTCATCGAGTCCCTTCATTAAATTGGTCACCGAGTCACGATTTTACTCGGCGAGTTGAGGCATCAACTTGTCAAGTCACTCCTCATACTCAAGAAGAAATACTCAAATTGTCATGCCTGAGAATCCGAATTTATATCTTGGGTATGTAAAACCATTTCTAATGAGGTTGGAGTCACTAAAAAAGATAGTAAGAGAGTAACTTTTATTTTCTGTTTTGTTTCACTACAATTAATATGTTTATGTAACAACCATAAATTTTATGTCAAATTTAAACTTTTTAAATCATACATAAAAACCAAATAGCATTATTTACAAAATCTTTTCGAATCATTTCCCATCAGAGTGTCCCGAAAATCATAACATAAGGATGAGGAGCGGTACGGTCACGCCTTCGCCTTTCCATGACCTCCTAAAGTACCTGAAACAATAAACTGAAAACAGTAAGCCCCGGGGTTTAGTGAGCTACCCCCAAAATACCAATACCACACTGACAATACCATATCAGTAATGATCAATCCATCAACATGCATATTGGGCCATCAGCCTGACTGGACCGCCCTGCCGAGCCTACAGTCTGTCTAAATATGTCCTGAGCCTTTAGCATGACCGGTCCACCACGTGGGCCTACAATCTTCTCGGACCACTCATAGGGTATATTGGCCTTCAGCACAAAGCAGGACCACCTCAAACCAACCACAAGCAAATAACCACGTGCACATATAATAGGTAATCACATAACAGTCCATAGACAAACAAATCGACCTAGCAGATCGTAAGGCATAACAACATCCTAACCAGGATACCGACCTAAACCAGGTCACTAACATAATACTGTCCTAATTACCAAGACGCCGATCTAATTAGATCAATAAGCACATCAACCCGTACATGTACAATTATCAGATATAACTATCTCACAGATCATCGATCATAGTAATCTCTCATAACCAAAACACCGACCTAACCAGGTCACTAACATATCAATCCTAACGGATCATAAGAACATGACAACATACTGTCTATCTGGATACCGATCTAACATATCATAACCACATGTAGCATACCATAACAATAACAACTAAAAGGGCCGACCTTGGTGCCGTAGACCCTATCGATATAGTGAGGATAACTCACCTCGCAGATGTCAACACGAAAGGTAACTCCAACTCTTGGACCACTTGACACAGGCTCCACTACCTATCATCAGTACGTCATACTTATAAGTCCTTAACCTTACAAGGTACCCCATAACCCGCTAGTCAACCCCTGGTTAAAGTCAAAGCCCTCAGTCAAGGTCAACAGTCCATGTTGACCCCAACTCGCCGAGCACCATTGGCTACTCGCCGAGTTCCTTGAAGTACAATCTAAATCACCGAGTCATCGAGGTGACTCGTCGAGTTCCTTTGATTCTCGTTCGAACTTTAAGGCCACCCGTCGAGTTCCCTCCTTGAAACTCGACGGATACACACTCATACATATCCAAGAGGAAACCCATCTGAATCGCCGAGTTGTTCTTCAACTTGCCGAGTCTTATAGCGATCTTCATTGGACTCGTCGAGTTGTGCATCCAACTCGTCGAGTTCACGGCCATCTTCATGTGACTCGCTGAGTCAACCTTGCGACTCGCCGAGTCCATTCAGTCCTTTTATCATGCAGACAACTTTTAAGCCATGGCAAGGCCCCAATTTGTAGATCCAACTTCCTTAGGCCTGCTTATCACGTAAAGTTGCAAAATTTACGTGCAAGCAAGGCTCCAATGACTCAAAAAGCCCAAATTATGCTTGAAATGGGGTTTTACACTTAGGGAGGGGCTCAAACTTGCCAAAGCTAAGAACTTTATGGTCCTTCAATCCATAGAGAGTTCAAATATGAAGTTACAACTTCAGATCTTGGCTCATAGTCCAGGAAATGACTTTATAACCCAACAAAGAACCCTAATCTCCAACCAAGGAGGTCTAGAACGAAGTAGAAAGGAAGATAACAGCTTGATACCTTCCCAAGAGATGACAACTGGAGTAGATCCAGATTTTCCCCAAGCTCCTTGCTTCAAACCACTTGCTTCCCTAGCTCTTTTCACCAAAAATCCTCTTCTAAGGCTTCAAACACACACAATGGGCAGACACACATGTATTAGGGTTTGCTAAGAGACTGCAAAGAGGCTGAAAGAGGTTTATGTTCCCTTAAATAAGGTGCACAACCCTGAGATTTAGGGTTTCAGCTGCCAGCTCCTACTCACCGAGTCCCAATATGGACTCGTCGAATAAGTTACTTAACCCGCGATCCTTCCCGCTGCTACTCGACGAGTAGATCAACCGACTCGTCAAGTAGGGCTTAACCTAATAACTCATATTTAGGCAATACCTGAGAATCGGGGCGTTACAGTTTATATATTGGTTTTTCCTAATATGTATGGTATTCCTTCGAACAGGTAAACATATAATGATATTTTATAATAAAAAAACATTTTCATCACATGCAAGACACCCTATGATTCAAGATGGGGTTAATATGAAGGTAACTTTTTTACAAATTTATTTTTCCTTTTTTATTTTTATTTTTTGTTAAGTACTTATTTAAAAATCTTAAAGATTTCAAAATTTACTCTAAGAGAAAAAAAGGAAGAGAAAGAAGTTATTACTTTTTAAAGTAATCATTTCATAAATGGTGGTATACCATTTGGTTACTCAACTGATGGAGTTAATACCAAAGGGCTTCTAGCCCAGCGGTATCAGGTGGTGCCGTGCTTCCGTGAGGTTGATGGTTCAAATCACGTTGTGGACATAGGTGGTATTAGGTGATAGTTTAGGTGTAGATTATATATTTGTATTTGCCGGTTCAAAAAAAAAACTGATGGAGTTAATGGAGCAATAAATAGATCCCAAACAAATTTCAAATTGGATTTTTAATTAATTCATTAATTATAATACACTGATTTATAAAATAAGAGTAAAAACACAAAACTCTACATTATGTTTACATAGTATTATATTGTCACATTTTAGCAAATGATTATTAGTTTAAGTTATAAAGGAACAATTTTTTAATCATAAGGGTAAAACCTTTATTTACTCGAGGGTGAAATGATCATTTCCTCATATAAATAGTAATTTTTTATTTAACAGATGATTTTCTCCTATCTGGTTTAACTTTTGACCATTTTGTCCCTAACGTTATTTTGGTGAAATTCAATATTTTTGCTTTACAAATGGGAATGACAAATTTATGGTGTTTTGAAGGTGAAAAAACTCAAACCCCATATTCTTCTTGGTTCATCTCGAATTGGAGGTGTGAAAATTTTTGAAGGATTTAAACAAGTGATAGCAAATGCTATTAGAATTTTAATTTTTTGGTGCTAAAGTATGTTATTATTACATATATATTAAAGTTCTCAACAAAAGGAATAGTAAATTTATCATTTTTTTTTGGTAAAATTGGTCCCTGCACTTTGCTTCTTATTTTTTATTTATTTTACACTTTTGGTCCTTTCAATCAATATTTTTACATTTTTAGGAACTTTTTAATATTTAAAGTTTGGCCACAAAACTTTAATGATTTGACAACTTTGATCCCTTTTCTAAAAATTTGCTAGTTCCTACATCTTTAATTCTTTATCCGTTTTGACATTTCCGATTCTTGCAGTCAAATTTTTTACATTTTTTCATAAAAACATGAAAAATATGGTCCGGAGTAAAGCCCGGGCTTTTCATTCTTACACTTTCTACGTCTGTCATATTTATCGATTCGGAAACAACATTGAAAACTTTTGGCCCCCGCATAGCGGGGGTAACCTTTCTAGTTTATGATAAAAAAAGATTTCTCTTTTGATTTTCTTACCACAATAAAAATGTTTTTATATATATATTTTTTTGCTAGATGTAAGATTTTAAAATTTCAGATTTGGTGTTTGATTTGATGGGGATCTGATGCCAATGTAACTAAATAAAATCTTCAAGTTTTGTCTATTTCTTTTGTGTATCATTCCCATTAAGCGGAGATTCTTCCTTTCCTTGGTACAAAAGAAATTATAAAATTGAAATGCTTCATTTCTAAAAACATATGTGTTTTGTAGGCGAAGATCATTTAATACTTTTTTCTATCTATTTTTAATGAATGCTCTACAAAAAAAATCAAGTATATTACAAAATTATCATGAAAACGAGACTACGAGAGTTAAACCATTTTAAGAGATTAATTTTGAACGACCAAGACTCACACTTTTCTAATCTTTGAATTTTATCCTGTGACGCGTCATAAAAAATATAATATAAATATTCAATTTTAAACATTAAAAATATGTATGATTTTAGATTTTATAACTGGCAAGTATGAACATGACGGAATTTATACTATTAAAGAAATACTTATTTTGAAAGCGATAATATCATCTTGTGATTCAGCAAAGATTTTCCATCAGATCCGCGGAAATTTTTTCTCTTTTCCCATCAGATCTGCTCTCCAGGAACCCAAACTTTTGTGTCGGTGGGTTTCTTGGTTTCAGTAATAAACGCAAACACTTGGCATGCATTGCTCATAACCCTTCAATTCTTTAAATAGAAATTCAAGAACTCCGATTTGTTGCCGAAAAAATGGTGGTCAGTGGCCCTTTAACACCTGGCCAGGTAACTGGTTTTTGTTCTTGCGATTACATTCATTATTCTATCAGATCTTGTTCTCAGTTCAGTATTTTTCATTTCAGTAGCTTAGGTAGATACATTTGCCTCAAGATTTGTTCGCTTTTGAATTGAGGGAAATTAGTAGCTTTAAATGATTGTGAAATTGGGTTTTCCTTTGTAATCCGAAGTAGGAAAGTTTTCGTTCGTTCTACACTTCTACTGATTCCGTGTCTGCTTACATTTATTAAAGTATAATATCGTCAATTGAGTAATGATAGCACTTCATTACAGTATAATAATTCGCTCGTTGCAAAGATCCATAACTTTTTGATGGATACAATATTAACTCAAGTTTCGATCATGGCTTGTCACCAATCTCTATGCGATTGTTTGAGATTGATGCAATGTGGATTTAGGGTTTATATCGTTGATGATTTTAAACTTGGTAGCGCTAAAGAAAGTGCAGAGTATATTCACGTTTTTATTGCTAATGTCATTTGCTCGAGTCAAGTGTCAAGTGAGAACCATGTCGTTCGACACTTTTACCAGTTCTTGAGAATGTCAGTTGCAAGTGTTAATATTAAATTGTTTTGCTTTGTTAGTTGACTTACTTGTGAGTAAATCATTTATCCATTGTGATCAATTGACAACTACTTCTATTATGAACAAGAATACTCAATTTTCCACTCTCATTTGCTTATTTCAGGTGTCATTTTTACTTGGAATCATCCCAATTTGTGTAGCTTGGTTATATTCAGAGTTCCTGGAGTACAAGAAAACTGCAGCATCCTTAAAAACGTGAGTTAAAACTTAAAAGTTACATGTATTTAGGGTTTCTTTATTTAATAACTAATTTTCAGTGGCAGGGATTCTGATATAAACTTGGTTGAGTTGGATAACAACACTGTAAAAGAAGATGATAGAGCTGTTTTACTGGAAGGAGGAGGTCTCCAATTGGCTTCTCCTAGAAGCCATAGTTCATCTATTACATCTCCTGTTATCAGGTTTCCATGTTCTCCATTTGTTCTTTTTCTTATAAATATAAATTTATCATGGATTTCAGGATTTGTATCATACTTATACAGTTATCTTTTCCAGGTTATTTACAATGGATGAATCCTTCTTGCTTGAGAATCGTTTGACATTGAGAGCTATGTACGCGACTTCAATCTAAACTTCTAAACTTTCAATTTTTTAAATTTATATCACAAAGTTAATGATTTTTTATGCTCTTCTTGTTCTGTTTCTACAGCTCAGAGTTTGGACTCATATTATTCTACTTCTACTTATGTGATCGGACAAACTTCTTTGGTGATTCCACAAAGGTTTTATCTCCTCTTTTGTCTCCTATCTTAGGTCATGTTAATCTTAACTAATTTCTAGTTTTCTTGTTGTTGCAGAGTTACAATAGGGATCTTTTCTTGTTTCTATACTTCCTTCTTATCATAGTATCAGCAATCACATCATTCAAGATTCATCATGATAAGTCACCATTCTCTGGAAAAGCCATACTTTATCTCAACAGACATCAAACCGAAGAATGGAAAGGTTGGATGCAGGTATAAAAAGTCAACTCACCTTTCAAAAAATTTACTCATATCATATAATTTATTATGGTATCTAACTTTTAAATGTTTTATAACCACAGGTATTGTTTCTAATGTACCATTACTTCGCAGCAACAGAATTCTACAATGCCATACGAATGTTCATTGCTGCATATGTCTGGATGACTGGATTTGGCAACTTCTCTTATTATTACATTCGCAAAGATTTTAGCCTTGCAAGATTTGCTCAGGTATTAATTTAATGCCAAAATCAACTTTTTTATGAGAATATGAAAGATTCTAAGAGGTTGATATTCTTTGACAGATGATGTGGAGACTCAACTTTCTAGTGATGTTTTGTTGTGTTGTTCTGAACAACAGCTATATGCTATACTACATATGTCCCATGCATACCCTTTTTACCCTTATGGTTTATGGTGCCCTTGGAATTTTTAACAAATATAATGACAATAACACTGTCATTGCTGCTAAATTTGCTGCTTGCTTTTTGACTGTTATTTTGATATGGGAAGTACCTGGAGTTTTTGAATTTTTATGGGCTCCTTTCACTTTTCTTGTTGGTATGCTCCTTTTCTTCTACTTTTTTTCATCTTTATACATTTGGAAAAAAAAAATCCTTTTTTTTTTTTTTTTAATATAGACATAAAAATATATATATATTTTTTATCAGGATACACGGATCCTGCAAAGCCAAACCTCCCTGTTATGCATGAATGGCATTTTCGATCAGGCCTTGATCGCTACATTTGGATTATTGGAATGATTTATGCGTATTATCACCCAACAGTAAGTTCTTCCAATGTCTTTGGAACTAAGAATGACATGTTTTTAATTTTAGTACTCTGCTAAACTGTTACTATGGTTTGTTGGACTTAGGTTGAGAGGTGGATGGAGAAATTGGAAGAAGCAGAAGTTAAACGTAGAATATCAATCAAGACTTTGGTTGTCATAATCTCCGTAACAGTATGTTTTTTTCTTTTCTTATTTTTTTTATATATATATTTTTAATAATACAAGATTCTGAAATTTGATATTTTTATAGATTGGGTATCTGTGGCTTGAGTATATATACAAACTTCCTAAACTCACCTACAATAAGTACCATCCTTACACTTCATGGATCCCCATTACGTATGTATAGTATACTCTTTGTATTCCGCTATTTTAAATATTGTTTTTAACTTTTCTTTTATATTCTGATTTTTTTTTTTTTTCTTTTTTCTGTAGTGTGTATATAAGTCTGCGAAATGTCACCCAATGTTTCCGTAGTTACACTCTGACCCTTTTCGCGTACGTTCCGATTTTTAAAATCCCATAATTTTTTTTGTCGATATAAAAAATTAATTTAATCATTTGTATTTATTAGATGGCTGGGAAAAATCACTTTGGAGACCTACATCTCTCAGATTCACATATGGCTAAGGTATGTCAACTGGTAAATTAAGTTAATATATAAAAAAATATATATATATATATAATTTTTGTTATAAATTACTTTGGATGCAGATCCGGGGTGCCAGATGGTCAACCAAAGTTGTTGCTGTCTTTGATTCCAGACTACCCGATGTTGAATTTTATGCTTACAACTTCCATCTATGTTGCGGTAAATAAATAAAAAATAAAAAATAAAAAATGTAAAAGAAATTTGAGTGAATTATTTATTTATTTATGGTGAAAATTTTCAGGTTTCATACAGGCTGTTTGAACTGACAAATACTTTGAAGATTGCATTTGTGCCAAGTAAAGATGATAAACGACTCACGTACAATGTCATCACAGGAATAGTTATATCAACCCTCGTCTACACTTTATCTTTCATACTCCTCAAGTTGCCTCAAGTCATGGTAAAAAAAAAAAAAAAAAAATTTAAATAAACTTTGGTTTTTTGTTATCTGAAGTCTTTTATTTTCTGCTTTTCTTTACAAAATATTGATTGTTTTTTATTGACAGGGGTGAAAGTTTTTGAGATGTATCATGTATATGATGCGAGTGCACTTAGCTAGTGTGAAGATTTTGGTATTTTTAAGAGAGAGAGAGAGAGAGAGAAGGGGGGCCTACTATTGTATAGGTAAAATGGGATGAGTTGAATATCCAATTGGAGGTTGTAATGGTAAGTGGGTAAGAAATTTGATCTGTTAGTATCGCTTGTGTGTGGAGGTTCAAGTTTTAGTGCTAGAGGTACAAGTCGTTATAGCAGTCAACGGTTTTTACCCTTTACATATATATGTAACTTTTTTACAATAACATTTAGTAAACTTTGATACTTCAATATATGAGATCATATATGACTTCTGTATCGAGTGTTCGATCAAGTTCAGGGGTCTTTTGTCTTTTTCACTTGCTCAAGGGACCAAAGTGTATATTCTACTTGATTACTAGTATTTTTTTTTTTTATTTATTTAACGAACTGTACAATTATATATAGCTGTAAGCTGTTTCTCTTTTATTTAGTATGGACGTAACGACTTAACGAGTTTAGCCAAGAAACCTGATTGATGTAGAAAAACGTTAAGCATTTAGAACTATATGTTTTTTTTTTTTCCTCCCGATGCTTCTCTCATTAAAATATTGCGAATTTTTTTGGAATGTACGGATCATTTAATCACGTTCAAACGAAACATACCTTATATATACAACGTTGTATCTATATTGATATCGTTATTGGTTACTCATTCAGTCATTTTATCTAATGAAAAGAAGAAAGTAAATAACCTCTTTAGTTTATGGCTAAGTAAAGTACGTCGACAATGGTAAATTGAGAAGTTGGTAAAAAGTTAAAAGTTGCAATGATTTGATAATTTATACCATGACAAACACCAAAAGACCAAATAACATTATGCTTTAGGAGACATAACATTGGCCCAATGGAACGCGTAAATAATGAGTGGAGTGAGAAAATGCCTAAAATGGGCCTGCATTACGACTATTTGATCATTTATCATAGATTTAAAATGCCATTTAGAGATGCAATACAAAAGAATTATATGGACCTAAATCAACTTTATAATTTCTTATATTGGAACTTGTTTTTCATGATGAATTTGTTGCAATTTCACTGTCTTCCAAAATTGGAAATTGTCACTTTTACGATATATATAAGATATTAACATCCAGGATGCAACAATACACGCATTATTATATTTTATGTTTTTTTTATATAGCTAATGAAACTTTTCAACATTATCTTAATTACTGTGAACATATACCGACTGAGAGGAGACTGGAGACTTTAATTTAGTAATGAAGCTATGAAATAGACTCTTGAAGGCTAGGTTGAGACATGGAACAACTGTAACAGAGAATCAATTCCACTTCATCTTTTTGATGTTTTACATGTTTAATGGATGTGTTTTCACTTTCCATTTCGATTTGTAAAGTGGATATATTATTTATATATTGTAATAATAAAATTAATAACTTTTGATAAAAGGAATTCTTACAATCGCACTGGCATTCAACGAAAACTTGTTGTCACTTTAACAAGATTAACGCAATACGAATATCAAAAACCAATTGTCTAGATTTTTCACTAGGATATATATATATATATATAATGACATTTAATGTTCCATTACAAACATTAAACAAGAGAAGGCAAATTATCTAACTTTTTTTTTTTCTTTAAATAACTTTTAGCGATTGACCCATTACCACCTTTTGGGAAAAATCCTCCGGGAACTTGTTCCTTTCCACTTCCATACACAATACGAAGTATTTCCTTCGGTGTTCGTCCAAATGCAAGTGAATATGTATTGCCAGCTAAAACATTTCCAGTTAGCACCCCTCTACCGAGTAGGTACGTAGGGACCACAAGCCCTTCATCTTTTAGGCCAGCACGCCCTAACTTGTTGCGTAGCTTTGAGATTTTATGAGTAAATTCGGCTACTGTAATACCATATGGTACCACTATTAGTGTTGCTCGTTCGTAAAGAAGAGTTCTAATAACTGCATCTTGACCTGATTCTACTCCCAAAAGACCGGCTACAAGCTGATAACAATTTAACATTTTATATATAACTATTTGCTTCATAAATAACATGTAATACATTTTATTAGAATGTACAGTTACATATGGTATAGATAGAGGGTGTCTAATATTGCTAGTTTAAGATCTTATAGTATATTTGTGTTTTGGTGTCTCTAATAAGCATTTTTGGGTGTTTTTATGTAATAAAATAAAATATGTTTATTGAATTAAATAATTTGTGTTTGATGAGTTGTATTCATTCTAATTTATTTGAAATCCTTACAACTTATTATTTGAAAGTACTTTTCATACATGGAAACTAGTTTATGCTTTTACCTCCATTTTACCCCTTAAAAATATAGATATATTTTTGGTCATTTTACATGTAAAATAATAAGTTTTTTAAATATTAAAAACAATTTATCAGCTTATTAAATTCTAGTACTTTATATGTTAATTCAAATATTTTTTTTTAAATCTATTTTTTTTTTTGGAACGGTAAATAATTATTTTTTCTTTTCTGATAAGGATTGAGCCCATGACCATCTATTTAGTTAAAAAAACATGAGTTTTGATAGAAAAAAGAAAAACATGAGTTTTGATTTAACAATCTCAAACACCCCCATAATATATGATATATCCATATGGTATTTTAAAAGACATAGTATATATAGATATATGAGGCATTAAATAATACACCTTTCTTGAAGTATTGCTTTTTAGTATTGGATTTGCTCCAACATAACCAGTGAGACCAACGTAAGGAATGATGTAGGAGGCAAGAACATAATTGAGATCATTGGCATAAGGATTGAAAGGTGGGAATAAGTGTCTTCCAAATGCTTTGTTTATTACTTTTGCAAATGATTTTACACTTAAATCCAACAGTGGTCTTGAAAATCCAGGTACTGTGCTTTTAATGGCCCTGTATATATGTACAAATATTTTAGAAAAAAAAAAAAGTTTAAATTAAAAAATTGAAAATATCACAAATATTATAGTAAAAAAAAATGTATCAATTTTTACAATTATCATCTTGCTGATTTTGCTACGATAATTATCCAATATCACAAATATCTGGTGTTGAAATGGTTCCTCTCATCCCAAAAAGTTCAAGTCAGAGACAATAATATAATTTATATGTAGATTAGAGAGTGTGTGAGAAGACCTTATGTGACCAACTTCTTGATATGCGAATTGCATGATTATATTTCTAACCAGAGGACTAAGATTAGCAATCCTTGCACCGATGGGTCGTGGTCCACCACCTGCAAGACCCGGTTGGATATGATCCAAACCCCTACCCATAGATCCATGTAAGAAGAACTCAGCCTCCAAATATTCCAAATTTAAAGAAAACTCTAAAAGTTCTCTATCTGTTCTAGGCAACATGGATTTTGCATTTTGGGTTACCGGAGCAAGGAGGAGGAGGAGAAGGAATACACTAGTTATCATTTGGCCAATTGTGGCTAAGTGTGGTGGTGCCATGAATTAATGATCAATTTTGTTTTTTATTATTGATCTTTCTTAAATTTAGCAATCATGTTTTCATGACTTTTTTTCTTCTAGGTGTTGAGGTAATTTGTTAGACGTGATGCCATAAAATATGGACATGCAATTCAACACTCGATGGAAGCCTTGGAGGATTTGATGTTGGTTTTTCAATATAAATAGTCGAAATTAATCAAATATATAAGTTTGAATAGCTTCTTAGTTAAGGCAGAATATTTATTTTACATAATTTTGTAGAATTTTTAGGATTCATGAAAATGAAGAACGGATATATATATATATATATATATATATATATATATATATATATACACACACACACACACACACACACATATTAACCGTTTATCCGCACCAAACGACAGATGCAAATAGCTTTTTCAAAAATTAGTTTCTAGAGGTGGTTAGTTATTTTACGCAAAGTGTTTACCTATATATAAACAAATATCAATAAAAGTCATGCTAAAAAATATAAAATTAGTAACAATAAAAAAATAAAAAATTAAAATCGTTTTCAAATGTGTACGAACACATTATTGATTATACATTATCAATTGCGTTATAATTTTTTATACACTATATTTGATGTATAAACTTTACTGTCTTTTATTTAAATAAATTTCGATCGATATTCAAATATCAATAAAAACAAAAAAAGCTATTGAGATAGTCATAAAAATAAAAAAAATCAGTAGTCTGGCGTAGCAAATTTACCATTTTTAAGTTTAATTAAATATGATTAGATGAAATATAAATACAATAATGATAAAAGTACATTAACTATAAGCGGGACAATTAAATATCTAATATTGATTATGGGCACTATTTATGCCCAAATATGTATTTTTAGAAGATCCTTGGAACCGTTAATTGTTTCAAAATTAATTTCTAGTGATTAGAGAATAGTTTCTTTTTTATAATTGTTTTCCTTTGATAAATGTTTTTTCCTTCAAATATTATTTTTCTTCATTAATAAGAGTAATCGTATATGGTGGGGTGGTTACAGATAATGTACAGAATAATAGGACACCCAAACTGATTTTACAAAAATAAATTATTTAATTTTTTTCTTATTTTATCGGTGGGTGTGTAGGCTCAATGACAGACCTATAAGCATTTTTTCAATTTAATATAAAAAATTGGTTATTTTAACATTTAAAATAAGTTAATTATATAAAAATGAAAAAAACAATAAATTTATTATATTGAAATGTTGAATGATGAACCTATGCTGTCAAAGAAAGTACTTTTTTGGACATAAAGTTCATTATAATTTATAATAGATAAATTTTAGTAACGAATGCTATCTAAAGTTGATTCATTTTAAAAAAATTGTATAAATATATCATGAATCTATGAGACTTGAGATAATTAATTTTAATTTACGTTTCTATATACTAAAACAAAAAATGACATATTTATAAAAAATATTATTATTTTTCTTTGAGAAAAAAAGGCAATTAATTCATTCAAAATAAAAAGAACAAAAAAACAAATACTTGTGTAGAAAGCATAGCCAAATTAAATAAAAATTTGTAATCTGTTGACTCTTTTTAGTCATCTCTAAAAGCTAAATAACGACTTATTCATTTTCTTCAAACCATTTTGTGAGTTAGTGTGGTTTTGAAGCTTAAGAAGAAGAAGATAGTGTGAAGATCCAACAAACCAAGGACCCATCCTTGACCTTGACCTTCTTGTGGATTGCTGTAAGTCTTCAAGACTCGATTTTTATCATAGATTATGGCTAGATCTTGAGAGTACTTTTCATTTTGTACCCTTCTGAGCCCAAGGGCAAGGGCAATGCTTGATGGCGCGACGTGCACTCTCTCACCAATATTTTGTGGGACACTCTGAAGGTTTTAAACAAGATGTAATGAATGTAGATTTGAAAACAATTACGTTGGGATTTCATGATTTATGGAAATGTGTTTGATTAATTAAAAATGAAAATTTTATTTTGAAAATTCTAGTCGTTACACAATAATGTTGATTACCTAATGGATCTTAAAGAGTACTTGTTTTGCCAATAATTGACTTGTAGGTCTTGGTCTAAAAATGAAGAACGAAGAACACAAAGAACATAAGTGTTTCTTTTCATTTTTGCCCTTGTGTATCTGTGTATATTCATACCCCTAAAATCGAGAGAAATGCAACATAAGGAGGCGTCTCATCTGGTCTCATCGGTGCCTCTTCTGGTGTCACCGATGATGGTGGTTATGGCGTGAGATGATGATGCTGAACAGATCTTGATGGTAGTATGTATATGATGAAGGCGGCTTTATTATGAAACCCGAGAGAGAGAGAGAGAGAGAGAGAGAGTTAGCTTTTCAAGGCATATTTCTATTGAAAATGCAGAAAAGATTATACTCCTATAATTTAATAATCGCTTTTAGGAAAAAAAATACAAGTACCAAAATAATCTTAGGATTTACATGTGCACCATTTCTCCATAATTGTTTCGTACAAAAAGAATTTTTTTTTTCTATTTTTGCACGAACATTGATTCGTTGGAACTGAAAGCAAAATATATAAGCATGAAAAGTTAGTCATACAATCATTAGGAGTTAAAAGCAACCAACTTAGCTTATTGTCAATCTTAAATGACAAAGTACAACCAACAATAAATAATTTTAAATCTCGGTCCTAAGAGATAATAATTGATTAGGATAAGGTCCACCATAAATTATCAAAATCAAATCTCAAAAAAGAGTAAATTACATGAATGATCCCTATGGTTTAGGGTAATTTGCGTGTTTGGTCTTTAACTTATTTTTTCAATTTAAAAGGTCTCTAATATTTGTTTTTGTTACACGTTTGGTCTCTGTCTTACTCAAAAAGACTATTTTGTCATTGATTTTTTTAAAATTTATTTAAATAAATACATTCTCAATCCCACTCCTCTCATCTTATCCTACCTACCACATACTTGTTCCTAATTTAAATAATAGTCTTTTTAGGTATGACAGGGACCAAAAGCGTAACAAAAAAAAAAAGGAGGGACCAAGTGCGTAACAAAAACAAACAGTAGAAACTTTTCGAGTTAAAAAAAACAATTTATAGACCAAACGTGTAAATTACCCCAAACCATAGGAACCATTCTTGTAATTTACTCCTCAAAAAATAAAGTTGACAAAAATTTTAAAAAAAAATCGTCATGATGAAACTTTCTAAAAGTCTCATGAAAAAATGATTCTTCACAAGTGAAATGAATACAACAATAAAAATTAATATTTGTTTAGAAATGATATGTATGATACCACGTGATTAGTTCAAATCAAAACTCTAATTCACTATCTGTAAGTAGATACAAGTTATACAATATATTTTTTGATGCATGTTAGTTGATATATGCACTTGTTTATTTTATTTTTCCACTTAATATAAAAGTGGGTTTCCTTTTATGCCCTTCTTTTAATCAACAAAGATATAAAAAAATGTTTTTTAATTACCAAATATATATATATATATATATATATATATATATATATATATATATATATATATATATATATATATATATATATATATATATATATAAAGAGAGAGAGAGAGAAACGAACTGTTTGTTTTTCTATAAATTTATCAATTGTTTTTTTTTCTTATGTAAAAATATCAATTTCTTTTTGTCTAATTTTTCTTTATATAAATTTAGACACCAATTTTCATTTTCACCTTGAATATTTATGTTTTTTTAACGGTAAAACTTTTGAATCCATTCAAATCATATACAAATGGAATCAACAATCTTATGCTATTGTCCTTTCCAATTATAAAACTTTTGAATCCATTCCAATTATATACAAATGGAATCAACAATCTTATGATATTATCCTTTCCAATCAGTTTTAACATTTAATACTTTGAATCCATTCCAATAGTAACATTTGAGTCCATTCAAATTTGTTGACAAAAGTTTGAATCAATTTTAATCTATTGATAGTTTGATTCAAAACATAAAAACTTTATTCAAAAGTAACTAAATGAAATCAGCAGATGAAACAAATGAAATCAACATATGAGACAAATGAAATTAGCAATATAATCAACAACTTATAAATTTTTTTTGAAATACATGAAATCAATTATATGATCATCACATTATGTAGAGACTAAAACAACAATATAATCAAAGATCTCTGAAACAAATAAAATCAGAAAAATGAGAAAATGATATCAATAGTGTAACCAAAATGTCCTTAAAAGAGATAAATCAGAAGACTTATTAATCAATTAATCTAGACTATAATCAAACTTGTAAGATGATTTGTTCTTTAAGCCTGGTGACTAGACAGATGAAATCAACAATAACTAAAGTAGCGACGACTGGAGAAGTACCAGCAGTGGCTGGCGAGAGGCGAAGAAGGACCGTGACCAGAGACCTGCGAAGGAGCGGCGAACGGCGATGAAAGAACGGGATTCTTGAAAGCCGATTAGGAAGGATATTAGCTAAAGCCGTTTCAGATTCTTTTCTCTATCTTCATGTTTTTTCTAATTTAACAAAAGAGGTATAGTTAGAAAACTAATTTTCGATTAAGTGTATAGGATAAAATAAAAAAAGTGGATATATCAACTCTCTATATCTTACCTCCTTGATTTGAATATCCAAGTTATCTTATTTTCTAGACAAAATTGCAAAAATGGTCCCTATGGTATGCAAAATTTTGGGGTTTTAGTCCAAACAGTGACTTTTTTGGTTTCGTAGTCCTTTTGGAGTGGTTTGTATGTGAAAATGGTCCATTCGAAAATTGAAATGACTATAATACCCTTGGGGTATTTATTTTTCATTTTTCTTTCATTTTTCTTAAATTTTAATATTTATTTATTTATTTTAACAATTAAAAAAAATAATAAAGGACCTCACACACACACACACACACACACACTCTCTCTCTCTCTCTCTGATGTTAATTCTTCTATAATCATTTCCCCAAGTCCAACAACATGGTATAGAGCCATTTGAGAGGGGATTTCAATCAAACAATGATTCAACGGTGAGGTTCTTGGCTGGGCTTCTAAAGTGGGTGAAGGAAACAGTCGGGTGACAAATTCGATTTCTATTTCACAAGTGATTATCGATTAAGAAGACTGCAGAAACTCAAGTACAGTGTGCGATTTCTATGGCTTATTTGAAATTCAATTG